CCCACAACCCGGGCATGTCCCCTGATCAAAATCAGTGACCTCCTAGTTTATAGGTCAAGGATCAACCACTGACCACTGAGCCACGCCAGCCGGGTAGCCATTAAACTATTTTTTTTAAACTGTGATACTTTGTCTTTTAAATAAAGACACCTTTATGGGTAACAATCGAAGCTTTGCAGCAATGACTACTTTCTTTCTTGTTTCTTTAGATGTTTTACGAGTGAGCTCATAAATTTAAATTGCAATAAATCCATATTAATAAGTTTTATTAAATATTTCATGCCTAAAAATTCTTGACTTTAGCAGAGACCGGTTTGGCTCAATGGATAGAGTGTCGGCTTAGGGACTGAAGGGTCCCGGGTTCGATTCCAGTCAAGGGCATGTACCTTGGTTGCGGGCATATCCCCAGTAGGGGGTGTGGAAGCAGCAGCTGATCGATGACTCTCTCCCATTGATGTTTCGAACTCTCTCTCTCTCTCCCTTCCTCTCTGTACAAAATCAATAAAATATAAAATAAAATAAAATAAAATTCTTGACTTTAACATTAACTTTAACTAGCACAGTAGATGGTGTTGACAATTTGTGGTTGTTTTTTTATTCCTCACCTGAGCATATGATGCTTTTATTAATTAGAGAGAGACAGAGGGAAGGAAACATTGATGTGAGAGAGATTGATTTTACAGAGATTGGAAGGGAGGGAGCAAGGGAAAGTGAGGGAGTGAAACATTCATGTGAGAGAGCTACATGCTCCAATTGGGGATCAAAGCCCACATGAAGAAACAGAATATACTAACATCTAGAACCCCAATCCAAGTACCCTCCTTCAGTTACTTCATTCCACTCAAGAGTAACCAAGATCCTGTGTTTTTGTACTTCACATAAATAGATCCATAAAGCATATATTCTTTCATGTCTGGCCTCTGGCTCAATATTAGGTTTTTGAGATCATCCAAAATCTTACATGTAGTTATAAAGTCTTGCAATCTTATTGTCTATTTGGGTTGTTTCCAATTTTGGATATTACTAATGATGCTATGAATATTCACTGCATCTAAATTAAAAAAAAATCTCAGTGATAGCACCAGTAGCCCACTGAACTATTCAGAAGGGGTGCTGAAGGGATTTTTTTCAAGCACTTGCAAACTATAAATTAGCCCGGCTGGTGTGGATCAGTTGGTTAAGCATCATCCCATGCACCAGCAGGTAACCAGTGACCTGCTGGTGCATAGGGTGGCACTCTCAATCCCCAGTAGGGGGCATGCAGGAGGCAGCTGGTTAATGTTTTGCTCTAACATCGATGTTTTGTTTTCACATCAATGTTTCTATTTCTCCCTCTCCCTTTCTCTCTCTGAAATCAATAAAAACATGTGTTTTTTTTTAAACTATAAACTAAATATCTTAAAGTAAAAACCTGTGAACATCTTGGTTAAAATTAATAAAATTGAAATCAGGATCACTACCAATACAAAATGTAAGTAGGGAATTATTCTTATAATGACATTTTAATTATTCTGCTATCTTTCCCTAAATTAAACTCCAAATTGCAATCTCAGCATATCAAAAGAAATTCAAGTGAGAGACCTAACCCTAAATTTTATGTTTAATTATATATGGCTGCACAGGGAATACTTTTTTTTTGGGGGGGGGGGGGGAGAAGGGGGGATTTTTTTAGCTATTCCTTCTCAGACCATTATACCCCATAAAGACACACTAGGATTAAGAATTTATACCAGTTTGTTATAAGTAAATGTATTAACAAAGTGCAACTTTCTTCAGAAAATACATGACTTCAAGTGCAAAGATAAAAGAATGTCTAGCATTCACTGATGTCAAAATCATATTTCGGGATTTATTTAAAAAGTGGAAACAGATTCTCAAACACCCAAACTACTGCCAGGAAATTATACACATGAGGGAAAGAGAATTTGTAATTTAGTTTCTAATGGGAAATTAAAATGTAGTACAAAGTAAGATATAATACAGGGGTTTAATTAAAGAAACCACCTATGAAAGAGGATAATAAAATACCATTATTTTGTTTACGTGACTAAAATATCAGAGCAGAGAATTCTGAGGGTGATCTTTAGCTCTGTTAAGACATACTGCAGACTGCCATGCCATGCAATGGGAAAGAATTATATTAACACAAGCCTAAATCCTATAATAGGTAATTTTCAACACTATGAGATACCATATGGCCCCCTATCCTGAGTACTGTTCTTTGTTGCAAAGAGAAAAACAATAAATGCAACTTGTTCAAATACCAAAAAAGAACTGTATGGAAGTAAGATATTTTAACAAACGTGACACATACAAAAAGAAACAAACAAAAAGACATGTCACAATTTCCTGACGTATAAAAACAACTAAATATGCCTTAATAAAAATATAAAATGTAAGTAATAACCATTTTAAAATATTCTATTGGTTTTGCTGAATATGAAAAATATTGTTTTTATTAGTTTGAAGAAGCATTATTTTATTCATTTTATTACATCAAATTTGAAGAGAAATTGACTAAATTTTAAACATTATTTAAACAAAAATATCTGCCTTATTTTAAGTCAATGCAAATTTCACTCATGACTCAATACTAGCATATTAACATTTGGGGAATTTTTGGAAAGATACATTATTATATATAAAACTGTCTTATAAGACCTTAGGAATAAGAAAGGGTTCATAAAACTTTACAAATCTTCCTAGACAATGTTTAATACAATGCAAATTATATATAGACTTTGATTTTTAATAAAAATTTCAATTATTTTACAATCAATTTGAAACAGAAGTAAATATGCGTCATAATTATTTTGAGGACTAACATTCATCAGGATTAGTATAGCTGTTAATACTTAAAACATATACTAGAAGAGACTATCTAGCTAGTTTTGTTCTAGAAATACTAATGAACTAATAATTAGGTTGGAAATCCTAACTTAAAATCAATGACTTAGAAAATATTATATAAAAATTCAAGGAGAGAACATTCTTATAGTCAACTTATTAATTGTTGTAGCAGTATTGTATGTACTGTATTTTGTACACATTTACAAATCATGTTTTCAAACTGACAATGTGACTTAACTGCTTTGTTCATTAACATATGAAGATGATGGTTGAGCTTGAAACATTAAAATTGTATTTATATATACCCTAAATAGGGCAGTTTACAAGATTAAATGATGTTATTCTTAAATATCTTTTTAAAACACAGATACCTAATTTTATCTCACATCATTATAAATAAATATGATAAGCTTAAAAATATTAAACTTTTATTTTTTATGTACTTAGTCCTAAAGTTCCTTGACTTATTGCTTAGTGATATTCTATCCCCAAGTATGGATCCTCAAGCTTTTTGGAAAAGATTCCAGAGACAACAATATGGACATCAAATATAATAATTCACTGTCACAATGTATTGATCCTCAGGAATTCCTTCAATATGACAAATATTTACTTTACAGTTACTGCTTCTGTAGCTATAGATCCTTCCTCACAATATCATATTATTTAGGTTCCAGAAGTTCCATCCCTCTGATGCTTCCAATCTGTTTTCTTAAGCTTGTTTAAAATAACAGCATATGAAATTTTCCACATTATTCTGGTTCAAAGGTAGACACTTTTCCTGCAGCCTAAAGTAAGTTTTTTCTTTCTTTTTTCACGGGGGAGAGGGTAAAAAGAAGAGAGATTGGCTTGCTATCTTCAGAGTTGCTGTGTATTTCCTGATGGAAAAGATTGCTGAAGGAATACATACCAAGAGGTGGCCGTGTTGCCATATTGAGGGCAGCAGTTAACTCTTCCAGCTCAGAACAGAATACTACAATAATTTGCTAATAGTTAGGCATTTGCTATTTTATGAACATAAATATTTTATCTACTTTATAAGGTAATATTAATAAAGATACATATAAAGTCTATGAAATTATTTGCAACAAAAATTTCACTAACTAAAATTTCTTACTATTTCCCTTAGGAAATATTGTACATCTGTTAGAGTACCTGATACTTGTTAAAATATCAAGTAATACAGAACAAGTTGTTATAACACAAAACAAACAGCTACGAAGCACTTTATTTTTTTCTACTTCATGTAACATTGTTTAGGACCACAAGATTTCAAAGTTCTCTTTCAAGCAACTTTTATGACTTAGGAATACCACTTAAAAATATTTACTTATGCCATAAATATTACTGCTTTTCTATATATTAATAATTTTAATGAATGTCATATCCATTATACCTTTTGCTCCTTTGGTCAGAAAGATAAACAGAAACTTTTAATGCTTAGGTACTAAAAATGCTTTTTAAAAACACCCAAACAAATAAAATCTATATCAATGTATGTTAAAATTAGTTTTGTTATTATTAAGAATTTTAACAAGGACATACTGAAACATGTATGAGATTTAAAAATTACTTAAAAAACAAATAAATTTATAAATAAAAAGATTAATGGCCAAATTGAAGAAAACTTAAGCAACAGATTTAAAATATCTTCATTTCTCCCTATTCAGAAATATATTTTGTGAATAAGAATTATTTCATAAATATATATGTATAAATATAAATATAAATCTACAGGATCTACAGTGAAGAGAAATTCTTTAAAGAAAAAAATTGCACTTTTAGATTATCAGGATGTTGTCATATTTACCCTTTAAGTGAAGTGTAATTACCATTCCAGGTGCTTTTGGCACAAATTTTAGGAGAATATCAACACAATCTTAAAAACACAATGCTTTTATATTTTATTGACTGGAATATGAAGAATCAAACAGAATTCAGAATTCTGATTTTAAAAAAAGTCCAGATAACTGCAATTGCTTAATTAAATCCAAAAACAAAATATTGTTTTAAAAAAGCCTTAAATCTGTCTTTATATCTGGAACATGTAAAATTTTATCAGCAACAGCTTTTCTTCAATCCCTTCAGCAAAAATTCCCAGCCTTCACTAAAAGGTAACATTGTCTTTTTCTACTTACATGTGACTTAGATCACACTCCAGTATATAAGGACAAAAAATAAATGTATAATAAAAAGATTGGATAAATCAGGAGAGGCTTTTTGGTCTTGAATTCTTCACCCACTAACAATGAAGCAGCACTGTAGGCAGCCCAAAACACACCAAACAGCTTTAAAAAACAAACAAAAAAGACAAAGGGCAGCATATTAGCAAGTCCATTAACATTTTGCATATTATAGAGTAAAAATAATATTTACAATATTGTTTAAAAACAACCCTGGCAACAAATGGTGGTAAACAGTAAAACTTATTGAGAATGTTTAAAACTTCCAATAACAGCCCTAGCTTGTTTGGCTCAGTGGATAGAACACTGGCCTATTGCCTGACTGGTCCTGGGCTCAATTTTGATCAAGGGCACATGCTCAGGTTGTGGGCTTGATCTCCAGTAGGGGGCATGCAGGAGATAGCTCATCAGTGGTTCTCTATCATCACTGATGTTTCTATCTCCCTCTCTCTCTCCCTTCCTCTCTGAAATCAATAAAAATATATTTAAAAAACAAAAAACAAAAATACATGTATATTTTAAGCCTACAGAAAAGTACAGAAAAATATATAAAATAAAATTATGATCAAATTGCATTTGTATGTTATGTTTCAATTTTTGTTGTTATATATAAATGGTTAATAATTGATAAGGATTATAAATTTTTAATTTTTAAAAGATTACAAAGTTTTAAAAGATTATAAATTTTTAATTTTTAAAAGATTGTATTTTAATGCTATAGTTAAATAATGAGAGTTCTGCAACGTATTCCTCAAAATTTGGACTAAAACAAGGAACATGTACAATAACTCATTACACACAGAAGATTAAATCATTAGGAAAATAAATTTGGCAAAGAAAAATGTAAAGTTTAAAAACAATTTTATCCTAAATTTTTAATGATATAAGTGGGATATTCCATTTTATAATACATTCATATGCTCCAAAAACATTATTAAGGACCAATTTCAGTTAAATGTGATGACTAAAAATGACCAGAAGACACAGTTTTAGCAATTTTAGGTGTAGTCTCAGCAGTATTAAAACAGGCTTTAACACAAGTTTAAAAAAAAAAAAATGAGCAGGAAGTTATTCTGAATGATTCAGTAAAGTGGTATGTTCTCTAAGGCTAGATAATTAAATGCCAGCATTGGTCTAGCTCCTACACTATGAGAGTTTTAAATTGTTAATAATATCAATTTAAAAAAATGTTTAGGATTAGAATATAAAGTAAAAAAAAAAAAAACTCCTTGATCTCTAAAATGTTCAAACATACAAAGGCGTTCTCAAAAATATTCTTTTACTAGAGGCCCAGGGCACGAAATTCATGCACTCGGAGGGTGGGGGGATCCCTCAGCCTGGCCTGCACCCTCCCGCAGTCCAGAAGCCCTTGGGGGATGTTCACCTGACAGCTTAGGCTCGCTCTCTGCAGGAAGCAGACCTAGCCGGCAGTCAGACATACTTAGCGCTGCTATGGTGGGAGACATATGGCAGTCGGACATACTTAGCGCTGCTGTGGAGGTGTGCTTGCCAGCCGTAAGTCTGGCTCAGGGCTTCTGGCTGAGTGGCGCTCCCCCTGTGGGAGCACACTACCACCAGGGTGAGTTTCTGTGTTAAGTGTCTGCTCCCTGGTGGTCAGTGTGTGTCATTGTGACTGGTCATTCTGCTATTTGATTGATTTGCATATTACCCTTTTATTACATAGGATAATATTTGTAATAGTAACAGCTACAACTTGTATGCCTACTCTGTATCAAGCACTGTACTAGGCAATGCATAAACTTTTCCCCCCATACCACTGAGTGACAGCTGCCACTGGCACAATCCCAGGGCAAGGATGCAACCAAGGCTTTTCTTTCAGCACCGGCTACCAAATCCCGGCCCCGCTGCGTGGGGGAGGACCTGTGAAAGTGCTGGCACACATACTTTAAAATCTTCAGAACAGTCGTTATTCACATTCCCATTCTGCAGAGGAGGGTAAGAAACAGTATCTCCTCTCCCCAAGGCAGACAGCAAGTAAGTGGCAGAACCAGGGTTTCAATTCAGAACTGATTGGTTCCAAAGTCCACATTCCACTCAATTTCTAATGCTTATATAATGTCAGTATTAGCCTGTAGTTACCCAATTTTGAAAGAAATAATTTCTCCTATACTGGAATAAGTAATAAACCAAATGCTATAAAAATTAAGTGGCACTACTAAAAACAAATACTTTAGTGTGGAGGCTACATTAATGGCAGTTCTGAAAGTGGTGGGCTTAAAAAGTTCCATTTTCTATAAAGAAGGTAGCTAATCAGTGATTCTCTCTCATCACTGATATTTCTTTCTCTCTTTCCTTCTCTCTTCCTCTCTGAAATCAATAAAAACTATTTTAAAATGTAAAAAAAAAATTATCTGAGTATAATATCCTCAGGCCTGATTTGTTCTCTGTTCTCCCCCCAACCCCCGAGACATATATTATAATTTCTGATAATTAAAAGGAAAGATAAATACCATTGGTAAAATCAGTGAGTAAGATCACTGTTCCAAAATATTATTAATTGTTTGATAAGGAGTTATGATATTCTTAGCCAGAGAACTATTATACTTTTGTTACTGGAAAATTGTAAACTACTTTTTATAATACATACTACTTACTTTTATAAGTGTAGACACCACTTCAAATGATCCAACCACCAAAAGTAGAGGGGCTATTACAATGAGAGGAAGTAATGAATATCCTATAACTCCAAGAACTTGGCCATATGCAACCTGTGAATTTTTAAATTTTTAAATAAATATCACAGAAATCTAGATATTCAAACCAATATTAAACATTACATATTCTATTATACTTTCATAAGTTGAGAATTAGGAAGAGATCATCACATATTATACTGATCATGTTTCAAATTTCATATACTGTGTTTTTTTCTATGCATACATAGATAAAGTTTAACTTGTGCCCAGCCAGCATGGTTCAGGGGTTGAGCATCGACTTATAAACCAGGAGATCACAGTTTGATTCCCAATAAGGGCATATGCCCAGGCTGCGAGCTCGATCCTAGTGAGGGGTGTGCCGAAGGCAGCTGATTAATGATTCTGTCTCATCATTGATATTTCTGTCTCCCTCTCCCTTCCTCTCTGAAATCAGTAAGATAGATATTTTTAAAAAAGGGTAAAAACAACTAACAATAGAACAATTATTAACAATTCTATGCTGTAATAAAAGTTATGTGAATGTGGCCTCTCTCTGAAAGTGATCTAGCTAATATCCTGGTATCCTATACTGCATGACTAATAGGCAGGTGAATACTGCATGGAGGATGAATCTACTCTCTGCATAGGATGGCAGGAGATTTCATCATGCTACACAGAATGGTATGCAATTTAAAACTTATGAATTGTTTATTTCTAGACTTTTCCATTTAATATTTTTGGATGGTAGTTGCTAACAGATAACTGAAGCAGCAGAAAGCAAAACGCAGATATGAGGGAACTAGGGTACTTGCAAAAATATAAACCACCACCACTCTTCTCACTAACGCTTTCGTTTTGCAAAATGTTATTTTTCTTTAAAACTTATTCTTCATGTTAAAATGAATCGTTTAATTTTTAATTTTAAATGAATAGATTTTTTTAAAAATTTTAACATGATAAATATGATAAATATAACCCACACTAAGAAATCTCTTTGGGGACCTGAGATAAAAGACTTTGAGAATACTGTAAAAGAGAATAAAATGTAAGCTTCCGTAAAAAGCTGTTAATTACTTATGAATGGGAAAGGATCTTTTCTTTCCATTTCCTTTCTTTTAACACTATTTAGTATATATAATACTAATATGTTGGTCCTCTTAAAGGAAATAGCATAAGTTAAAAGCAATTCTGGAATAAGGAATACTTATGATGAATATAGCCACTGATGGCATCTGCAGCTCAAAAATAAAGCTTACCATAAAAAGCAAAGGCTATTTTCAAAATTAACCACTTACTTCTCCACCAAGAACTCTGGCCAGTAAGAAAATAGTTAGTGAACCAAATATCCAAATAGTTATAATCCATGATACCACCTAAGGAGGAAAAAAAAATCATGCAATTAATTCTTTTTTAAAATCTTCTCTCTTTTTTTAATTTCTTTATTATGTTATCACATAGTTGTCCTCATCCCCCCATTCCCATCCCAAATCCCTCCCCATGTATGCCCCCATCCCCCTGTTGTCCATGACCACTGGTTAGGCTTATATGCATGCACACAAATCCTTTGGTTGATCTCTTCCCCTTACCCCCACCCTCCCCTACCTTCCCTCTGAGGTTTGACAGTCTGATCGCTGCTTCTCTGTCTCTGGGTCTGCTTCTGTCATTTTATGTTGCTCATTATTTCCCCTAGATGCGTGAGATCATGTGATTCAAGAAATACCCTTATAAGAACCAAAACTGAGATAAGCCATAATGGTTATGCTGAGAGGCATGTGAATCAGTCTGTAGTGAGTTCCTTTCTGGGCCAAGCAATTAATTCTTTCTACCAAATAAGCTGGGAAGTTCCTAGAAACTCAATTCCCTGTCATATAAGATTCTTTGGTATACCCTATTTCAGGACATAGAGAGTTAGTTTAGGTTCCCTGGTATCTTTACAAAACTTAATAAGAATAAAATGTGAATGTAATTTTACATTCAAATTGTAAATTTAGCCCAAAAAGGCATGGCTCAATTGTTTGAGCTGACCTGCAAACCAGGAGGTCACAGTTGGATTCCCCAATCAAGACACACGACCCGGTTGTGGCTTGATACCCCCTTCCCGGGCTCCCCCCACCCCCCGACATGAAGGAGGCAGCTATATGTTCTCATCATTGATGTTTCTCTCTCTCCCTGCCTCTCTGAAATATTTAATAAAAGTATTTTAAAAAAAATTAGCAATGAACAATTGAGTAAAGACACATCAGTACTTCAAGAACAATGATAAAAGATTACTGTGAAAAGAGAACCAAGAGCTTACTCCCAACCTCATGATTTTCACTATCCTGCAAGGAAAATTCATCCCTGACACAGGTTACCCATCTTTTTGCGAGGTCTTTCAAGTTTATATTAATCACACATTTGCCCAAATAGAATTAAAGACTTTTCAGATCATTTTAACCCCTGAGACTTATTAGGTCTAGTAATACTTAATGTCGTTTTTAAACATTCGTTTAAAATCTTGCTTGGCGTTGACTTGTATTGACATAATCTTCAAACACGTGGTATCTACAGAACGTGTGAAGTGCAATTAACAAGTTTTGCTTGAAAAAGTTTGTGTTTGGTTTGGTTTTTGTTGCAAAACTAGGGCTAAGAAGATGGCGGATGAAGAGCATATTCGGCACTGCATGCTTTACGAGTTCCAATTAGGAAGAAATGCAAGTGAGGCTGCAAAAAACATCTGTAGTGCTCTTGGTCAAGATGCAGTTAGCGCCAGAAAATGCCAGCGTTGGTTTGAGAAATTACGCGAGGGAAATTTTTCGTTAGATGACAAGAGTGGTCGAGGCCGTGTGTCCAATTTTGATCAAGAAGCTCTTCAAGCTCTTTTGGTGCAAAATCCTCAAATTACCCAACAAGAGCTTGAGACAACTTTAAATTGTTCACAAAAAACAATTTCCAATCAATTGCGTGCACTTGGCAAAGTCCAAAAGTTTGGAAAATGGGTTCCTCATGAGTTGACCGACAACAACCGTAATCAAAGAGTCACAATTTGCAGTTCGCTCCTCTCTTGTCAAAACCGTTTGCCGTTTTTAGAGCAAATTGTTACCGGAGATGAAAAATGGGTGCTGTATGTTAATTTGAAAAGGCGGCCTCAATGGTTGGACAAAAATGAGGCTCCGCAGCCCACGCCAAAACCTGACTTGCATGCAAAAAAAGTGATGTTGTGTGTTTGGTGGAATTTTAAAGGAATTCTTCATTATGAACTTTTACCATCTAACCAAACCATTACAAGTGCAGTGTATAGTGCCCAATTGGAAAGGTTAGCCCAAGCTTTAAGAGAAAAAGAACCCGCGCTGATTAATCGGAAGGGCGTAATTCTTCACCACGATATCGCACGACCGCATACTGCAAGAATCACTGCTGAAAAACTGCGCCAGTTGGAATGGGAAGTTCTCCCTCAACCTGCATATTCTCCTGATATTGCCCCTTCCGATTACCATTTGTTTCGTTCTTTGCAAAACTTTCTTCTTGGAAAAAAATTTAATAATGAAGAATGCCTCAAAAATGCATTGACTGAATTTTTTGCATCAAAATCACAAGAATTTTACAACAGAGGGATTAAAATGCTTCCTGAGCATTGAGCACAAGTAATAGAAAACAACGGCACCTATATTTTTGATTAAATTTTGTTGTATTGTTTAAATAAATTCGATTTAAAAAAGTATTAGAAAACGACATTAATTATTACTAGACCTAATAGCATAATATGCGCATACATTTCCCTCTTCTGTCTACTTGGAGCCTAGAAATAATGATACTCCAGCAGCTGGTTTCTAAATATCATTCCCTAATAAAAGGAACTAGGATTCCTTAGAGAAAAAGGTGATACCAGGGCTGAAGCAGGTAAAAGATAAGCCCAGAACACTTTGTAGAGTCAGAGGAAAGAAAGTACTCAAAAAAGGATGGGAATATGTTGAAAGGACACTGAAGCTAATCTTGAGAGCTCCAAATGACTAAAGCTAAACAATCTCGGGATGAGGGAGTGATTTGTATATGTTGTGTTTTGATGATAAAGCCCCTGAGAGTAGGACAAAGTATTATCTAAAAACAAATACTGGGGGGACTTGAGGGGAGGAGGATAATACTATCAATAATAAAAAATACATATATAGATATGAAGTCAAACAAAAAAAAACCCACAACAAATATTGATGGAATCCCTGCCATCATTTATTGAAACGTCTATTTTAAAAAACAGAGCTAAAAATGAGAAAAAGGTAACATGATTATGAATTTTGTGTTTTGAACTCTTCATCACCTGGGGAAATCAGTAAGGACACAGGCAGCCTTTTGGTCATTTCTGATCAGAAAGGATTAGTTCCGTCCATTTACCCCAGTCGCTATACAAATATTAATGTTTTCTTTTCTTTTTGGTTAATCCTCACCAGAGGATACTTTTACACTGATGTTTAGGGAGAGTAGAAGAGAGAGGGAAAGACAGAGAAACACTGATGTGAGAGAAACACATTAATTGGTTGCCTCTTGCAGGAGCCCAGACCAAGGCCCGAGCCAGGAAGGAACCTGCAACCAAGATACATGCCCTTGACCAGAATCGAACCCTTTGGTCCACAGTCCAACGCTCTATCCACTTAGCCAAGCCAGCTAGGGCCAAATATTAATATTTTATATGTGAATGATAATATGGAAAAGTTTGAAAAGCAATAATGTAAGGAACTTCCCAAATAATTAAGAATAGTTCTATGAGCCTGGCCTTTGTGGCTCAGTTTTTGAGCATCAATCTATGAACCAGGAGGTCATAGTTCAATTCCTGTTCAGGACACATCCCTGGGTTGTGGGCTAGATGGGGGCGTGCAGGAGGCAGCCGATCAATGATTTTCTCTCATCATTGATATTTCTCTCTCTCTCTCCCTCTCTGAAATCAATCAATATGTGTGTGTGTGTGTATAATTTATTTATTTTAAATAATAGTTATAGGGATGACCAATGAAAAATAATGCATAGTGGTAAAAAAACATTTCTCAAATGTAATGTCCTATGATAGTTATATTTGGCTATCTTTAATTTTTAAACTCTTGAAAAATTTAGAATGTATATAAAGTAAGATATACTTACCCTAAACTGTCCGTATAATGATATCATGGAAAAGAAAAGAACAACAGCCAGAGGACCCCAAAAGTCAGGATTGTCTCTCACCACTTGTCTATTAAAACCAAGTGATGGCATTGGCATCAAAACACATCGGATTTTGTAGTAAATATCCTTCAGATCAATATCCAATTCTTCCCTATAATTGTAAAATAAAAAAATTTATAAGGCACACTTGTGAATATGGAGACATTTGTAGTAGAACTTATATCTATATATACAAAAGACTAAGCGACTGTCCGACTGGTAGCATGACCAGTAGCTATGATGCGCACTGACCACAAGGAGGCAGATGCTCAATGCAGGAGCTGCCAAGCTGTGGTGACTTGGCAAAGATGGTTCTTGGGTGATGTTTCTGGAACCAGAGAGGAGGGAGCCTGATTCTGGGGTGCATCACCTGAGAACCGCCCTCTCACAATCTAGGACCCCTTGGGGGATGTTGGAGAGTCAGTTTTGGCCTGATCCCTGCAGGTCAGGTCAAGGGACTCCACCTGCCAAAGGAACCCCACATACTCTTGAGACAACCTTGGCACTGTCCCAGGTGTGGCTGGCCCCTGGGGAGGGACTGCCGGAGGTTGGCTCCAGGGCGTGTTTGACCCGTCTTGCCCAGTCCCACCCCCACCTTCTAATTAATTCCTTTCAATGTACACGAATCTGTGCACTGGGGCACTAGTTTAAAAATAATGGCATAAAAACTATGGTACATCTACACAATGGAATACTATGCTGCCATAAAAAAGGAATTCTCATCATTTGCAGCAACCTGGATGGAATTGGAGAACATCATGCTGAGTGAAATAAGCCAGTCAATGAAAGAAAAACACCACATGACCTCACTCATTTGTGGATGATAAAGAACATTATAAACTGATGAACCAAAAGATAGATATAGAGACAGTATATCAACAAGCAGACTGTCAAATTACAGCGGGGAAGGGAGGAAGATCTGGGGGAGATAATAGATCAACCGAAGGACTTTTATACATGCATATAAGTACAACCAATGGACATAAAACTTTGGGGAGGGAGGGGATGTGTGGGAAGGAGGGAGGGGGGCAAAAAAAAAATCAATAAAATATATTTAAAGAAAATACAAATAAAATAAAATAAAAATGTGTTATCACCCCCCAAAAAATAAAAAATAATGGCATAGACTCTGTAGGTCAACAAAGCATTTTCATTTGAAGTACCATATTTCACTGATTCCAAAGTATACATTTTTAACATTTTAACATCTCTAAAGTTGGGATGAATCTCACATTCGCTGGTGTCTTACAATTGCTGTCAGCCTGAAGGGAAGCCAAGAGTTTCCAAGATCTGCCTTTCCTTTTGCCAATTTCCTAAAGCCACTACCAATCTGGGAATTTAAATATAATTTTCTACTTGAGACTTTTTGGGACCATAGAAATAACTCAGATTGCAATCCTATATGAGAACTGGTAAAGGGCTTACATTCTCAAGGGAAAGTTTTCTTCCAATATCCCACCCAGTGTCAAATTGAGACAAATAAATTCCCCTTCTGTCTCTTTTGTGTGTTGGGTTATTTCTCATTTATCTTTATACCAAGGAGATAGCCCTTTGATGTCCTCAGCTCTATGCTGTCTTAAGCACTTTTCCTTTCTCGTTGATAAATAATCCATAGTATCTTATATTTGATGAAATATGGTATATCAACATAGAAATAATGTTTTAGCACTTCATCTATCAATTATTACAGAGAATAACTTGGTAATGCCTCAATTTTATAAAGCTATAGGTTCTTTTCTAAATTGTTAAAATTCTTCAGATTTTTTTCCAAGTGATAACATAGTCATTAAAAAATAAATAAATCTGTAATCTCTCTATAGTCCTCCGCAGTAGCTTTAGAATTTCTATGTGGGAGAAATTTGGGAGTGATAATCTTTTTTTTGTGTATATGTGCTAATCCTCCAAGGATATTTTACCATTGACTTTTAGAAAGAGTGGAAGGGAGGAGGAGAGACAGAGATAGAAACATCCGTATGAAAGAGACACATCGATTGGTTGCCTCCCACATGTGCCTCGATTAGGGCCAGGGATCAAGCCTGCAATCAAGGCAAGTGCCTTTAATGGGGATCGAACCCAGATTCCTTCAATCCGTGTGCTGATATTCTATCCACTGAGCCAAACCTGATAGGGCAATAATCTTTTTTGAAAATCTTAAATGGTCTTAAACTGAATTTCCACAACAAGCAACCACGTGATCTGCTTTTTTAGACTGCATGTTAAAAAATTAAAAAAAAAAAAAAAGACTATTTAATGTTTACTTGAGATAGCTATAGACCCAGATAAGCACTAACAGTTTGAAGTGTGTGTGTATATGTACGTGAAAGAGAGAGAGGATTATGATTCTTTTGCTTTTTGTAATATTTATTTATTTACATCCTCACCTAAAGTTATTAATTTCAGAAAGAAAGACATACATCAGAGAGAGAGAGAGAGAGAGATGGATGTGAGAGAAACACTTATTGGCTGCCTCCTTTATGCACCAATCTGGAACCATACTGCAACCTAGATATATGCCCTGACCAGAATCAAACATGCAATCTTTAATTTCTGCAATTTAATAGGTTAAAAATAGTAAACCCCCCCCTTATTTCAGTTTTAATGATTACTAATAAACTGAAAATAGCCAAAACTTTTGATCAAAAAGGTTAAGATTTTCCATACTTATTCTTAAATAATAATGAAATACTATAATCATCCTACAAACTAACTATAAATAATAAAACAGTACGTATTATTTTTACATACAAGAGTGGCTTGTTATCTTCAGGATCATCATCTTCAACTTCCAAAAGCCAGCCATATCCTCTTTGTCTCAGAAACGTAGTGGCTGTAGATTCTTTAATAAAATCTCCACCAAGGTTTAATTTGACATCTGGGGGTGCTATTGAACCACTGAGGTCTTTGGAGAAAAGAGGACAAAATTATAAATCAAGAAATAATGTGTGAATTTGTAACTGATATAAGCATAAATTCAACTAACATAATTATCATTTGAAGACCTACTATTACATACAATCTTCATATTTTTAAAAATATATATTTTATTGATTTTGTACAGAGAGGAAGGGAGAGAGATAGTTAGAAACATCGATGAGAGAGAGTCATCGATCAGCTGCCTCTTGCACACCCCCTACTGGGGATATGCCCGCAACCAAGGTACATGCCCTTGACTGGAATCGAACCCGGGACCCTTCAGTCCCCAAGCCGACGCTCTATCCATTTAGCCAAACCGGTTTCGGCTAATCTTCATATTTTAAAGTTACAGGTATTTAAATATCATCTTTCATTTTACAAGAAAATAAAGGACAAGAAAAGTCTTATAGCTAATTAGCTGGACTGGTACCAGAATCAACATCAAGCATGTCAAACTCGTGTTTATTTGGCCTGTGTTAGCCTTTGAGTTTGACATGCTTGATATATACTTATAACAATAAGTTAAAAAAAATTTATCGATGCTTATGTCTTGTTTTATTTATTTATTTATTATTTATTTACTTTTGGTTAATCCTTACCAAGGATTATTTTTCCAGTACAAGGGAGGGAGAGAAGGAGGAAGAGAGCAAGAGAGAAAAACATCAATGTGAGAGAGATACATTGATTGGTTGCTTCCTGCATGCACCAAAACTGGGCTGGGAATTAAACCTGCAACCAAGGTATGTGTTCTTGACCAGGAATCAAACCTGAGACCATTGGTACATGGACCTATGCTCTAACCATTGAAGACACAGACCAGAGTTTGTTTGTTTATTTATTTATTTAAATTAAATTTATTGGGGTGACACTGGCTAATAAAATTATACAGGTTTCAAGTGTACAATTCTATGTCACCTATATATTGCAATGTGTGCGTACTGCCTAAAACCAAATCTTCCATCACCATATTTTTTTACTCCCTTTACCTTCTACAATCTCCCACTCCACCACACTGCTGCCTGTGTCTATGAGTTTTTCTTGTTTGTTCATTTGTTGCTTTCAGAATAACTTTAAACTTTAAATGGCAGATTTATACAAAATATATCACGATATTATCTTGCATTCCCTTCATTATTATGTATTATACAGAACAAAGTGATTGTATAAATTATTTTCAAAGGCACTACATACAAACCTTCAGACATAACTTATTGCCTAAAGAAAAACTATAGATAATTTTTCTCTACTTTTTAATGTATTTATTCATACATTCTTTCATTTAAATCAACAAATATTCATGTTAAGTGCTTCATATTTTAAAGAGTAGTTCTGGATAAATCTAACTAGTAAGAGTTCATTGCTATTTCAGCTAACTCTTCTCTTTAGATAATTGCATCTTTAGTTTTGGCAAAAATAAAAGGTTTTTTAGGTCACCTCTAAAAAAGGTGAAGAGAATCAGTTTCCCAGATTACAAAACAAATTCCACTCATAGTTTGCACAGTAGCTTAGAGGTTAAGATAATCACAGTAGTACAAATGTCACATATTCTGGTAAAAAAAAAAAAAAATGGGGAGAGTAAAGGACTTGCTTGAGGTCATATGGGAGATAAGAAAAAAGACATCTGTAGGACCAGGCAATATGCACTAGTAAACAACCATCATTGTTGTTAACTAGAAGCCACATAACTGGAGTGGTATTTTAGAAAATAATTTTGGCAACAGTAAACCAAAACATTCTTTTTTATAAAAACATGTTTTTATTGATTTTTTAGAGGGAGGAAGGGATAAGGATAGAAAGAAAGAAACATTGCTCACACCCCCTATAGGGGTTCAAGCCTGCAACCGGAGCATGTGCCCAGACCAGAAATCAAACCAGGGATCTCAACCAGCCTGAGTCACACCAGCCTGGCAACCCAAAACATTCTTAACATAGACATGCCTTCTCTGGAGACCACAGACAGCATATACATATATTTTTAAAAAGCTAAATTTTAACCTAAATTTTAGGTTAGCTTTTGAGAAAAACCATTGTAATTTTGGCTAAAACTTCAATGAATGGATCAATTATGAGTCATAACCTGGTCTGGTGGTGAGAACTCCTGCAACCATTTAATTATAATAAAGTGAAGCTAAGTCCTAGCTTAGCTACTAATTAATAGAGCAAATCATTAATGTCCAGTTTCCTATTCCTTTCCAGATTTAACGTTGTATGATTCTAAAAAGGTTTTATTACACAGCTTACTCAGAAATAAAATGCAAGTACTTTTGAATTTACTGTCCTTCCCTACTTAAAGTTTAAAATTATTTCTTGTAAGATGCCATCATAGAATCTTGTAAGTTAAAAAATATCCTCTCAAAATTACTTTCTGCTCATTTGTCTTAATCTCAGTTGAAAATGAGTTAAAAACTAATTAAAATTCCATTCCACTAGGTACAAGAAATGTTTTTCTTGACCTAACAAGGGGAAGACTTAGATCAGGAAGTCATTAGTACAGCAATGACATTAAAGGTTTGGAATTATGAGGCAGGAAAGGACCTTAACAACTGTTTCCTGCCCTTTAGAAGGGGCTACACTTAATCTAACCCAAAAAAGGGTCTATAAATTATAGTGTTAAAGAATGCTGTAATAAAAAATTGTTTATGTTTAGCAGTTTGTCATAGCATGGATGCCAGAATCTCAAAAAGGCACCTTTAGCTTATAATTCTATAGTATTTTCCATTCCATTCAAAGTGGGAAAGTATCATGGACATATATGTAGGAGTGCCAGCAACAGTGGTTTGATACATCCCCCCAGTACCGCCAAGACACAATCAGTGTGAGAACAAAACAACAACAGAAAAGTCCAAAAATTGGTAGTTAGCCTAACCCATTAGCACAGTGGTTGGCAAACTCATTAGTCAATAGAGCCAAATATCGCCAAAACAGGTTTGGCTCAGTGGTAGAGCGTCGGTCTGCGGACTGAAAGGTCGCAGGTTCGATTCCGGTCAGGGGCATGTACATTGGTTGCAGGCACATCCCCGGTAAGGGGTGTGCAAGAGGCAGCTGGTTGATGTTTCTCTCTCATTGGCGTTTCTAGCTCTCTGTCTCTCTCTCCTCCTCTCTGTAAAAAATCAATAAAATATATTTTTTTTAAAAATAGAGCCAAATATCAACAGTACAACTGAAATTTCTTTTTAGAGCCAAATTTCTTAAATTTAAACTTCTTCTAACTCTACTTCTTTAAAATAGACTCGCCCAAGCCGTGGAATGTTGTGGAAGAGCCACACTCAAGGGGCCAAAGAGCAGCATGTGGCTTTGAGCCTCAGTTTGCCCACCACGGCATTAGCAAACTAAAACAGCTTCATAAATAAATAAAAACTAAAGGAGTTCATCACCACCAAACCAGAATTATATGAATTGCTGGAGGGGGTTCTTTCAGAAGAGAAAGTAAATAAAGATAAAAATTATGAACAACAAATGAATCTAAAAACTATCAACAAGGGAATCTAAAAACCAAGGAAATTAAGAAAAAATCTGATGAATAATATTAACTGTTCAATATAATAGAATCAGAGGTATGGAAGGGGAGTGAACTGACGATTCTTGGGGAAAAGGGGAGAGGGGGGTGTGAGAAGAGACTGAACATAAACTGTGCACCTATGGATGAGGACAATGGGGAGTGGGGAAAGGGCAGAGGGTGGGGTGGGAAGCTGGTGGAGGAGAGCAACGGAGGGGGGGGGGGAAGAGGAACATTTGTAATAATATGAACAATAAAGATTTATTAAAACACACACACACACACACACACACACACACACACACACACACGCCAAAACCGATTTGGCTCAGTGGACAGAGCGTCGGCCTGCAGACTGAAAGGTCCCAGGTTTGATTCCGGTCAAGGGCATGTACCTTGGTTGCGGGCACATCCCTAGTAGGGGGTGTGCAGGAGGCAGCTGATCGATGTTTCTCTCTCATCAATGTTTCTAACTCACTCTCTCTCTCTCTCTCTCTCTCTGAAAGATCAATAAAAATATATTTTAAAAAATAAATAAAAAATAAAAAACCCACAAAATACAAAAAACAAGGAAAAAGATTCCAAATCATTTCAAGAGCACAGATGTCTTAAATTAAACCAGAGTAAGATCCAGCTAGCTTGGTTCTTAATTCTAGGATAGGTATTCAGAATTTTAAAACACTATTTTATTTTATTTTATTTTATTTTTTAATTTCAGAGAGAGGAGGGAAGAGGGATAGAAACATAAATAGATTGACTGCCTACTGAGTGAGGATTGAGCCCACAACCAGGTTATGTGCCCTGACCAGGAATCTAACCATGACCTCCTGATTCATGGGTTGGTTAGCTCAAATGAGCTAAAATACTAATTGTAAACTAGTTCTTTCTTATTACACTATGTAAAATATTGTTATTTTCTAAGAAATGTGTAAAGATAATAAATATGTGGATTTAAAAGGAAATAATCGTTGAAAAAAATCTATTGCAAAGGGAAACCATAAAAATGTTTCCACTGCTATTTGGGCTCAGAATGAGGACATCTCAAATTTTATTGAAAGTCACCTAGGAAAACTGCAAAACAAAATTTAACAGTAATTTTTTCTCCCTTTCAACTCAAGTGTATGAATGGGTGCGGGATCTTTACTCTGAATTTCCTATTCACCCTGAGAACTTCACTTTGAAAGATAAGAACTCGGTCAAGTGTAGTACCCATAATAATAAAAGCATAATAAAAACAGATGTCCTCCTGGATGATCTTCTGGACAAAGCTGGGCTGCAAGGGAAGATTAGGTTTTGGGTGCCGGCAGCTGGGGAAAGGAAGGCCTACTCTGCACAAATTTTGTGCATCGGGGCCTCTAGTGATAGTATATTTAGGATAAGATTTACTGATTTGCCTCTAGTTAAGGTCTAGATTTCTATGAAAGAAAAGTATGCTGCAATGAATAATGCACATTATGTGGCCAATTGTCAACTTTTTTATTTATTTTAAAAATATATATTTTATTGATTTTGTACAGAGAGGAAGGGAGAGAGATAGTTAGAAACATCGATGAGAGTGTCATGGATCAGCTGCCTCTTGCACACCCCGCACTGGGGATATGCCCGCAACCAAGGCACATGCCCTTGACCGGAATCGAACCGGGGTCCTTTCAGTCCCCAAGCCGATGCTCTATCCATTGAGCCAAACCGGTTTCAGCTATTTATTTGTTTTAAATATATATTTTATTGATTTTTTTTTTTTTACAGAGAGAAATCGAGAGGGAGAGTTAGAAATATAGATGCGAGAGAAACATCAATCAGCTGCCTCCTACATGCCCCCCACTGGGAACATGCCCACACCCAAGGTACATGCCCTGACCGGAATCGAACCCGGGACCTCTCAGTCCCCAGGTCGACACTCTATTCACTGAGCCAAACCAATCAGGGCAATTTTAAAAAATATATATATTTTATTGATTTTACACAGAGAGGAACTGAGAGGGATAGAGAGTTAGAAACGTTGATGAGAGAGAAACATTGACCAGCTGCCTCTTGCACACTCCCCAATGGGGATGTGCCCGCCACCAAGGTACGTGCCCTTGACCGGAATCGAACCTGGGACCTTTCAGTCCACACGACGACGCTCTATCCACTGAGCCAAATCGGTTTTGGCCAGGGCAACGTTTTATATATATGAATATAATCTTACTTAATATGCAATAAGAACAAAGACAAAAATCATCTTATTTGAAAATAAAACCCGCATGTGCTTAAATCCAAACCAGAACTGAGTATTTGTGCAGCAAAACAAAAGCACATGTTTCACAGTGAATAAATTCCCTTGTCCCATCTTAGTTATAAAACACTTTAATGCATATATAGGCCAATGAAAGATAATGATTTTATAACTGCTAGACATCCTATATAATAAAAGCCTAATATGCTCAGTGTCCCATCATCCATTCAACCAAAGGGTAATATGCTAATGATATGCTAAGGCTGCTCAACCATTTGCTATGATGTGCACTGAAAAACCAGAAAATAATAGGGAGGGTACATGTACCCTTCAGCCAGTTTCCCCCAAGGTATCATCTTATGTAACTACTAGAGTAAGGTGCCCAGACGTCATGCTTTTGACAGGACAGTCCTGATTTTGAACAATTTGTCCCTCGTCCTGTGGTGTTTTTAAAAAGTCCCGATTTTGCCGGGACCGGTTTGGCACAGTGGATAGAGTGTCAGCCTGCAGACTGAAAGGTCCCGGGTTCAATTCTGGTCGGGGGCATGTACCTTGGTTGCAGGCACATCCCCAGTGGGAGGTGTGCAGGAGGCAGCTGGTCGATGTTTCTCTCTCATCAATGTTTCTAACTCTCTATCCCTCTCTCTTCCTCTCTGTGAAAAATCAATAATATATATATATATATATATATATATAAAAGTCCTGATTTTTTTGAAAGATTCTTTTAAATCTTTTGGAATTTTAAAACACCGTGGGATGCGGGACAAATTGCTAAAAGTCGGGACTGCCCCACCAAAAGCGGGACATCTGGTCACCTTATACTAGAGGCCCAATGCACGAATTCGTGCACGGGTGGGGTCCCTCAGCCTGGCAGCAATTGAGGCCTGTCAGGGGACTGGCCAGTGGGAGGGACACCGGGATGTTGGCTGACCTGTCAGGGGCCAGTCAGCTGGGGGGAGGGGACCGCAGGAGGCTGGCCAGCCCGTCAGCCCGCCTGCGCCTCCTCAAAGTCTGGGACGCCCAAGGAGGGTCCTTGGCACTGGGCTGGGGTGGGAGAGGCTCCTGCCACCTCTGCTGCGCCTGCCAGCTGTGAATCCAAGCCTGGCTTCCGGCTGAGCAGCCCTTTTCAAAGCCTGGTAAGGAGCAGAGAGGAGGAGGAAAACAAGAACTTCCTGGGCTGTAGAAAACTCCCTCCAGCACAACTGCTACGTCCCAACAGTTGTCACAAGGAAATCTGCAGAAGCCACTGTCCACCCCTCGAGGGATGACAAGTTTCAAATGTACCTGGGTCTATTTCTCTGAATATCAGGTCAACTACTAAAAAAACAAAACAAAACAAAACAAAAAAACAGGAGGAAAACTGGGACGGTGGCAGAATATCAAATTCCATGTATTTGCAGCGCCGAATCCAAACGCAGCCAAAGCTCCCGATGGATAAATAAGAGGAGCGCTGGCTCCTTCATTGTTCTCACCTTTGACACCTGCCCTGACCAATCGCTTTTCTGAGTAACAGCAAAATCATTTCATTAAAGCACACTCCGACTTCCCAGGTTCATCTGAGGTAAGTCACCCAGAACCACCAGCCCCAACGGCGTGGCGCCAGCCGAGCTGACCCCGCGCCTCAGAGGTGCCCACACCCTCCCCCCCGGGCCTCTCCGAAGGCCCCGCAGGCGCAGCCAGCTTCCGACCGGCCACGACCGCCTCGGCCCCGGAAACACCCCGCCGCGTAGGACCCCCCCACACACACACCCGCCTCCTGCGGCGGAAGGGGACTTCGGGGGCTCAGCCTCACCTTCCGCGTCGGCCGAGGAAACAAAGGTGAAGTCCCCGTTGGTGGGGGAATAGGCCGGGGGCGGGCCCGGCGGCTGCATCTCGCGGCCGCTGGGAGCCGGCGGCGGCGGCGGAGGCTGCGGCTGGGCCCAGGCCCCGAGGCGGCCGCGGCGCCGACCCGCAGCGGCGCCCTACGAGCCGAGCCGGGAAGGGCGGGCCGGAAGCGAGCCCGGGACCAGCGCGGGGCCCCGAAGATGCCCCACCAGAGTCTCCGCCGTGGCGACGGCCCTGACACCTCGACGCCGGCGCCCTGACAGGACCACAACAGTGACAGCGCCGCGGGGATTGGCTCTTTGTAATCTGCTCTCCCATTGGCTCCCGTGGAAAGGCTCTGATTGGGCCACCGGTGGCTGATCCCGGAAGTTTGCCCAGCACCGGAAGTTCACTCAATGTGTGGACCACTCCGGCTTCCTCCTCCCTGTTGGCTGTTTTGTTTTCTGGAAGCCTCATATTTTCCGGCTTTTCTTTTACCTGGTTCCTTCGTTTTTGTGAACTGGGTGCGTTAAAGAATTTTAGAACTAGGGACGTTTCTAATGGTCAGTCCGGTTTAGGATCCTAAGATTTTTTTTTTGTTTTTTTGGGGGAAAAGGGATTAGGCAAAGGCAAGTGAAAATGCCATGAAATTGCCCATCGTTTTTAGAGGTACCTTTTCTTCATTGCGCATTCATATGGTTGTAGACCTTTGACCGTTTCCTAGAACGTTAGTCCAAACAGTTTCTTTTTTTAATTCCCCCTTCCATTCCCCCATTTTTTGTTTTTATCTTTTCCTCTTTTTAAACAAAAGAAAGTAGACAGATATGTGTTGGTAAATGCTAACTGCCCATATTCACACAGAGACAGTGTAATCTGAGGCCAATATACATAGTGATATATGTGATACATATGATTGGGACAGCACTCAACAATAAAAAGAAATGAATTAATGACCTATACAAGAATATGGATGATTATAAAAAACCGTATGCTAAGTTATGATAGGAACAGACACATAGAATATATACTCTAGATTCCATTCATAAGAAATTCAAAACAAGAGACATTGTAATCTACAGTGACAAAAAGCAGATTAGTGGTTGTCTCCGACCACAGCGGGTGGGCAGGGAAACTGCCTGCTCATAGGTTTGAGGGGATGTTTTAGGGCCATGGATGCCTTCTGTATGATGTTTGGGGTAGCCTTTATCAAAAACTCATCCAACTAAACACTTTAAATGGGTATATTTTCATGTATATAAACTATCATTCAATAAAATTGATTTATAAGAGACAAAGACTTTAACAGGCAGTTTGTACAACAAAAATTCAGAATAGCTGGACACTTGTAATTGCATTTAGAGCTCACCCAGATGATCTGAATTGTGTCCCCATCTCAAGATCCTTCATTTAACCACATCTGCAGAGACATGACATTTACAGGTTCTAGGGATTAAGATTTGATATATTGGGTGGCCCGCTACAAACACATTTCCACAGTTCCCCCTTTTATCCTGTATTACATCATTTGTTATTACAAAAGTGATAGTTGTGCTTTCCCTTTTCCTTTCCCTTTCCCTCCCCTCCCTCTCTCTCCCCCTCCCTCTCCTTTTCACCCTTCACCACAACATTACCAATGCCTTCCTCACTCCCAAGCTCCTAGGGCCCTTCCTTTGCCTCCATAACTCATTTCCTCAGTCCACTTCTGCAAATTATTTCTTCTACCTCTGCAATTGTATAAATAAATACAATTTATTTATTTTTAAAAAAGTGATAGTTGTTTTGAAAAGGAAATTAGAATATACAGATAAGCAAAAGAAGAAAACAAAATTGCCCCAAGAGTTAAGCATTGTTAATATTTTGGTAACTATCTTTTTTACATACACACATATGTGCATATCTCTCTATCTATCTATCTATCTATCTATCTATCTATTGATCTATCTAATCTAAAGGCCCGGTGCACAAAATTGGGTCCCTTAGCCCGACCTGTGCCCTCCTGTAGTCCAGGAGCCCTCGGGGAATGTTTGATTAATGGCTTAGGCCCGTTCCCTGCAGGGAGCCAGCAGTTGGATATTCTTGGTGCTGCCCTGCAGGTGAGAGAGGGGCCTGCCACTGCGCTTGCCAGCTGTGAGCCCAGCTTCTGGCTGAGAGGTGTTCCCCCTGTGGGAGCGCACTGACCACCAGGGGTAGCTCCTGCACTGAGCACTTGCCCCCTAGTGGTCAGTGTGAGTCATAATGACTGGTCGTTCCACCCTTTGGTCAACATGCATATTAGCCTTTTATTATATAGGATATATGATTGATTTCAGGGAGGAAGGGAGAGGATGGAAACATCAATGATGAGAGAATCATCAATAGGCTGCCATCCTCCTGAATGGCCCATACCAGGACTGAGCCCAAAACCTGGGCATATGCCCCTACCCGGAATCAAACAATCATCTCCTGCTTCATAGGTCGAAGCTCAACCACCGAACCACACCGGCCGAGCTTGATAACTATCTTTACAATTTTTTTCTCTGTGACTATACATTTACATATAGGTCCTACTAAAGTTTTAAAAATCCAGCTCATAACACAGCCCTTGATTCCACTTCACAGAAGCACACCTCCAAGTTGGGAAACACTGCTGTTATTCCCATAGAAACCCTAAATTGCAGAAATTTACTTAGGGTGAAAACTTTAATATTCCTCTCTGTCAGATAGGTTAATATCAGTATGCCTTTTTTGGAATAAGAAGTTAAGTGACATAAAAAAAGCTTGTGGTTATTTGTGCAATGATAGGGGAAAGCATACGCAAGAATGTCATTCTCAAGAGAAGTGCCAGGAGATTTCTCCTTTTCCAGCGCTTAGGGTGAGCTGGCTTTCTAGAATTTGTGACCACAAGCTGTGGCCATGTGTGTGCCAGCGGGAGGCTGTGGCTCTTTGTGTTTGGGAAATGGCCTGTGCACCACTAGTGGAGCGGACAGACGGTGGTGATGCGTTTGCTCTGTGCTAACCTTGCCCAGGACCCTGGTGACAAAGAGTATGCATTTGCTAGAAGTCTGCCGGGATCCAAGATACACATGGTAAGCATGGCTTTGATTGCTGTAACCATATGCTTTAACCAACCAAACCAGCTCATTCTCCTCTCTCTCTCTCTCTCTCTCTCTCTCTCTCTCTCTCTCTCTCTCTCTCTCTCTCCTCTCTCTCTCCCATAAAAATTAATGCAAATTAAATATTCAAAACACTTTGCTTCATTTTAAGCTATAGAATAAATGAGCCAACAGCAATAGGATTCACATATCATGAACAAATAGGAAACAAATGAATAATTCTTTTCCTAATGGACATTTCTAGCTTTTGCATCTTTAAGTCTCAAGTTTCACTTCTTTGGCCACTTCTACTTACACTCATCTTCCCCTTTTGCACAGTAGTTCTTGTTTCCAAACCATTCTTACTATGCTTTGGAAAGAACAGAAAAAAGATAACTCGTCAGTGTTTGCCTTTACAATCCCCAGCCACAGAACACAGAGCCCTCCGATCCACAAGACACCAGGCCTCACACTGTGACACAGAAAGCAAATAAAAGAATCTTTATTTTAAAAGCAGTTGATCCACCAAGAACGGGGCAACTGGATTGGTCAGCCAGGTACCCTGTGGAGAGATAATGGGATTTTAAATGGGTGTTGGAACCAAATATTACAATTTGGATTTACAGTTATTTAAAGCTTGTGCCTGGGGGTATAAAAGCCTTAACACTAAAGACTGTGGTTTTGCATGACTGGATTTGCCTGCAGTGAAACTTTTAGGGCTGGTTAGTCTGTGAGTCTGGCCTGGTGGAGTTTCATTAGGTTCTTTGGGATGGATATGTAAATGTAGAATCAAAACAGAAGGGAGACAAAGTGAGGGAAAGCGCTCTGAAAATATTTTTTGGGCTTATACTTTTGCTAATGTTGTTGGAATCACACAAGGTGAGCTGAAAAGAGGGGAGGATGTTGGGAGGAGGATTACTCATTCCGTTTAGTCCCCTAAATTCCTGGTGAGAAAGCTGATATCTAGAACAGTGATTTTTGAACCAGTGCCTCAAAAAAATTTAAAACATGCACTACCTGACAATTTAGCCAGAGACACTGTCCTCTTTTCCCTAGATTGTCAAATAAAAAATAAAAAAAAAGACAACAGACATCACAACAATAGCCATCAGGTGAGTGAATGCCCTGTCTTGAGCATAAATATAGGTCATATAATAGAGTTGCATTTTATTGGTCATGTCACATAATAAGGTTATGTCTGATTGATTTTTTAAAATTGATTTGCAAGAGAGGAAAGGAGAGAGAAAGAGAAAGAGAGAGAGAAAAAAACATCAATTTGCTGTCCCATTTACTTATGCATTCCTTGATTGATTCTTATATGTGCCCTGACTGGGGATTGAACCCCCAATCTTGGTGTATTGGGACAATACTCTACCCCACTGAGCTACCCGGGGTAGGCTAACAGGCCAGGTCTGGTTAATTCTTGATACCAGACATCCTTATAAACAAGTATAGGTACCTGATTTTTAAAAAATTCACCTTGGAGCCCTAGCCAGTTGGCTCAGTGGATAGTGTCAGCTTGGGGACTGAGGGGTCCCAGGTTTGATTCTAGTTAAGGGCACATGCCTAGGTTGTGGGCTCAATCCCCAGTGGGGGGCATGCAGGAGGGAGCTGATCAATGATTCTCACTCATCATTGATGTTTCTATCTCTCCCTCCCTCTCTCTTCCTCTCTAAAATCAATAAAATATATATATTTTTAAAAGTCACCTTCGAGCCCAAACCAGTTTGGCTCAGTGGTAGAGCATCGGTCTGCGGACTGAAAGGTCCCAGGTTCTATTCCGGTCAAGGGCATGTACCGGGGTGTAGGCACATTCCCAGTAGGGGGTGTGCAAGAGGCAGCTGGTCGATGTTTCTCTCTCATCGATGTATCTAGCTCTCTGTCTCTCTCCCTTTGTCTCTGTAAAAAAATCAATAAAATATATTTTTTAAAAAGTCACCTTCGAGCCGAAACCGGTTTGGCTCAATGGATAGAGCGTCGGTCTGGGGACTGAAAGG